TGTGTGTGTGTGTGTGTGTGTGTGTGTGTGTGTGTGTGTGTGTGTCACAGCCAAACTCTCAATATATTTGCCAGCAATTTAGCACTTCATAAAAGCCAGTTCTTCATTCATGACCATGACCACCAGATGGTGCTGAGTGGGAGGATCATAACACTTGATCACTCATTGCTGACCAGATGTTCTGGGAAGCTCACTCTTCATCGGTGATATCCCGGCAAGTATTGCAGTAAATTGTCGTGTTTGAGAAAGTGAGGAAGATGAGAAGAGAAGGGAAGAGGCATAAATAGGAGAGAATCTCCAGTTTAGTGGAAGCTGAATTAAATCTTTCTCCACTGCTACAACGTGGATATGTCCCTGATTGCAATGTGGAAGTGAGCACTCGGCTCTGCTCAAGCGTTTTTAATTAGGGCCATGGTTTACATGATTCCCTCCACAAGTTAAGCAGTGCACGCTCACTATTTAGCGTTTAAATAAAATTGATAGAATATACTGGATGCTTTTGCCCTTTGTAGGAGATTTCCTATGCCTTGCCAGAGGTCCAGATCACATTTCTTAGCTGGATGGAAATCCCACAGAGTCTCATCAGGGCAACTCAAGCTCCACCACAAGCTCTCTGGAGAGCAGCAGAAAGTGCATTTTCACTTGAGCCTAAAGCAGACAGCCTTTACACTATTTCCAACACCTGCCAACACGGAGAACAAGAGACAAGGCCTGGGAAGTGATCCTGAGTAGAACCAAGTGCTAAAAGGAGGATTACTGACATGATATGACTGTTTATACCCTGCACAAAGGAGGACTGAATAACCCTGTTACCTCGTATATCAAGGGAGCTCCAAGCGCATCACATACAAATGAAGCAGGCTCCTTGATATGCTGAGGTAGGTTTGCACTACTAGAGCTACTTAACAGATCAGGAAACTGAGGCATGTAGGTGCTAAAGTCAAATTTTACCAACTTGCTTGCTGACATCAGTGGGAATTTGCTGGGGACAGAACAAGGACCAGTGAACCAGGTTAATTTACAGGTGCCTCAATGCAGGTTGGGGTGCCTAATTTTAGGCCCAAGTGACTGAGCTGAGGTACAAACAGAGAACCAGTTAAAAAAACCCAGAATCCTGGCTCCCGGTCCTACAGCTGCGGATCACATTTGCTGTGAAGACATAGTAGAAATTCAAAGGCATTTAGGAGTCGTTATATAAGGTCTGAGTCAAAGCTGCTTGAAATTACCAGGAGCCCTTCTACTGAGCGTGGTTAAAACAGATATTAACTGGCCCATTTGAATTATTATGTGGTTTAATCCCACTTATAGTTAGTAGAGTCAGAAGGGACCTGAGCAGATCTTCAAGTCCGACCCCTTGCCATGGCAGGAAAGAGTACTGGGGTCAAACGACCCCAGC